AAAAAAAAAAAAAAAATCAGTGGTTTATAAACAATTTATTTCTTACAGATCTAGAGTCTGGGAAGTCCAAGATCTAGGCACCAGCAAATTCAGTGCCTAATGAGAACCCACTTTCTGGTTTATACATGGTGGAAGAGGCAAGGCGGCCCTCTTGGGCCTCTTTTATATGAGCACTAATCCTACTTGTGAGGGCTTTTCCCTCATGACCTAATCATCTCACAGAGGCTTCACCTACTAATGGCTTCACACTGGTGATTAGGTTTCAACCTAAGACTTTGGGGGCAGGTGAACCAAATATTGAGACCATATCACTAGTACTGTGTTTCCCCGAAAATAAGACATTGTCTTACATTTATTTTTTCTCAAGAAACACTAGGGCTTATTTTCAGGGGATGTCTTCTCTGTGCCGAAATGCATGGCATGGCTATGCAATATATCTGCAGCATATCATCACTAGGTTTTATTATCGGGGTAGGACTTATGCACAGAAATGCACAGAACAAATGCACAGAAATCCTGCTAGGGCTTATTTTGGGGGTAGGTCTTATTTTTTGGGAAACATGGTAGTATAAGAACTTATTTTGATTATTACTGTTAGTAAAGACATCCTAGGTCTCAGCACTGTGTTAGGAATAGTTGTGACACAAACAGATCCTACATAAAACCGCAGGTGCAGGCTCAGCTTCTGTACTTCAGCAGCTATGGTGCCGGCCACATACATTGGGGCTGGTGTGTTTGATCCGGCCCTGGCCTGGTAAACGACAACTACAACAGAAGAATAGCCAGGCATTGTGGGGGGCACCTGTAGTCCCAGCTACTCGGGAGGCTGAGGCAGGAGAATCTCTTAAGCCAAGAGTTTGAGGTTGCTGTGAGCTGTGATGCTACAGTACTCTACTGAGGGTGACATAGTAAGACTCTGTCTCAAAAACAAACAAACAAAAAACCAGCAGCAGCAGGAGGAGCAACTAATTATGAAATTAGTAGGGCCAAGCACTACACTAAGTGCTTTATACTTCATGTACTCTGCAGAAAAGAATGAACATTGTTGGCCAGAGACCATTAACCCTACAAAGCCTGCTGGTAAGGTTGGTCCATTGCTGGCATCTAGGACAAAGAATGAATCATGGTGCCTAAACTGTTGGTGTGCAAAATATGGTTTATGCTCAGCACTGGCTTTCCTTTTGAGTCTGGAGTTTTGGTACACACTCGTACTAGGCAGAGGGTATCTACGTGATTGGCCTCCAATAAACACCATGGACACGAAGTCTTTGATGAGCTTCATGTATTGTCAAAACTCACTGCTGGGGTTAGAATTAAGTGTATCCTATGTAACTCTGCTGGGAGAGGACTCTTGGCAGCTTGGACCTGGTTTCCTCTCTGCTTTGCCCCATGCACTTTTTCTCTTCCCTAATTACGTTTTGCATCTTTTCACCTAAGAATAGTAGTGACTAAAACTAGAGACTGAGTCTTATGAGTCTTTCTAGTGAATAATCAAAGCCGGGGGTGATCTTAGGAGCCCCCAAAACAAATACTTTCATGAAGCCTCCAGTTTAGTGGAAGAGACAAACATGCAAATCATCAATAATATAATGCAGCATAACAGGCACTATCACAGACGTGAGCAAAAGATAAGGTACCAAACAGCCAGGAGGGATAAAGAGTAGGGGGCTTTGAGAGAGGCAGGTTGGGTTGACGGGGCTTCCTGGGAAAGAACATGTGAGCTGAGTCTTGAAGGATGCACAATAGTCTATGAGAGAAATGTAAGCATGAAAGGAGTAGACAGGACACATTCTAGAGAGTTTAGAGAGAAGAAACAGTATATATAAACATATGTAGGTATGAAAGAATGTAGTCCATTCTACAAATTGCAATAAATTCAATCTGGCTGTAGCACAGGCTGTAGGAAAATAGAATGAGATGAAGCTGGGAAGGTGTGACAAGCTGTGACAAGACTATGACAGTTTACCATTACACTATGATAATGAGTTTGCACTTCATCCTAAATGTGATGGGGAAACCACAGAGTTTTTAGCACTGGAGAGACAAGAACAGATCTGCTTTTAGAAAGCACTCATTTTGGGGAGCTATTGGAGGCAGGGAGCTTAACAGGCTACTATGTTTGTCCAAAAAGAAAGGCAGCCTGAAATAAAAGGGAAGTATAGGGTGAGTATCCCTTATCCAAAAGGTATGGGACCAGAAGAGTTTCAGATTATTTTTTGTTTGGGAATATTTACACATATACAATGAGATTTAATGGGGAAGGGACCCAAATTTAAACATGAAATTCATTTATGTTTTGCAGTATCTAGTATCAGTATCTAGTTTTGCAGTATCTAGACTCAGTATCTAGTTTTAGGGGCAAAGGGGATTCTATATAATACGTTGTTTATTTATTTTTTTGCAACAGAGTTTTACTTTGTCACCCTGGGTAGAGTGCTATGGCGTCATAGCTGATAGCAAACTCAAACTTCTAGGCTCAAGTGATCCTCTTACCCCAGCTTCCCAAGTAACTGGGACTATAGGTGCCTGCCATAACACCCAGCTATTTTTTTTTTTTTTAAGAGTCTCACTTAACGCCCTTGGTAGAGTGCTGTGACATCACAGCTCACAGCAACCTCCAACCTACTGAGCCACAGACGCTGCCCTTGCCCAGCTATATTTTAGAGAAGAGGGTCTCACTCTTGTTCAGGCTGGTCTCGAACTCTTGAGCAACTCCACCTGCCTCAGTCTCCCAGAGTTCTAGGATTACAGATGTGACCCACTGTGCCCAGCCTCTATACAATATTGTATACAAATATTTTATGCAAGTAATTTTGTGCATGTTAAGTACTTATGTGTGGACTTTTCCATTTGTGGTATGATGCTGGTGCTCAAAAAGTTTTGGATTTTGGAGCATTTCAAATTTCAAATTTTCAGATTAGGGGTGCTCAACCTGTACCAGTAAATATATTACTGGATGGAGCAGAGAGGCACATTTGAGA